CTCGATCCTAACAAGGGGCGGTTGCACCTCCTGCCAGAGCTCGAAGACCGAGCTCAGGTGGTGCCACCGCCTGACTAAGGCGGTTGCACCTCCTGCCAGAGCTCGAAGACCGAGCTCAAGCGGTGCTACCTCCTGTCAGGGGAGGTTGCACCGCTCAGTCTCGCTTGGAGACTGAGCCCAGGCGCTGCCACCTCCTGGCTGGGGCGGTTGCACCGCCCAGTCTCGCTCGGAGTCTTAGCCCAGGCGGTGCCACCTCCTAGCTTGGGCGGTTCAACCGCCTGGCAGAAATCAGGGTCCGAATGGGTTGATCCATTCGGCCCAATTTGGGTTTTTCAAGGGCCCAATTGCCCCAAGATTAAGTTAATGGGATCACCTTCCATTTCCAACTTAATCATTGTGCTAACTATGATATTCCCTAAGACAATTACTGCAACTTGCTCCGATGCATCAATCGCTTCTTCCGGCGAGCTTCCGGCGAACTTCCGTCGATCATCCGATGAACCCTCAGTGATGCTCCTGCGGACTTCCGGCAAACTCCTGGACTTGCGACGATCCACTTGGCGAGTTCCGACGAGCTTCTTTGGCAAGCTCATGGACTTCTCGGATTTGTTCCCGCAGAACCTCCGACGACTATCCGAACTTCCGTCGAACTCTCGAACTCCCAACGTGATCATTGTCTTGACTCCGGCGCAACTCCTGCTGCATGTCTTACTTTTATCGTAGTTAATCCTGCACATTTATCTCAACATATAGATTAGATAACAAATGACAATTGACTTCATCATCAAAATCCGAGATTCAACACTGTGGGACTGTCTGATCCCGTATTTTAGGGACGAATGGGGATCCCTGATGTACATCCTCCCCGAGCTCTCCTCTTGATTTGCGGACCTCCTTCTGCACCTCGTCAAGCCGTTGACTGACGAGGAGCAACTGGGCTCGCAGGGAGTCCGTCGAGGCCGAAGGAAGGGCCTCGGGTTGCTCGTGGCCTCTCCGGTCCGCCGTCACTCGATCCCCGAGTGGGGACGATGGGACCCGAGGCGAAGCGGGAAGCTCTAGGGGCTGCGCATGAGCCTAAACGGCCGGCTCCTGCTGTCGCATCGGTTCGGCGGCCGACGGGTGCAGCGTTCGAGAGTCGAGTGGAATGATGGACTGCACCATACCAGTCAGAACTTGGACCTGATGGGTGAGGTCGAGAAAGGCCTCAGACGAGACGAGCGACGGTTCGACAGAGGGGGAGTCGGGCGGCAACAAACCCAGGTCGTTGAGGATCCGCCAATAGTGCTCTGAAGTTATGGCGGGGTGTTCATTGCGGAGACCCGTCCACGGGGAATGTTCCCCCGGAGCCTCGACCGGGTGCGACCCCTCGACTGCGGGTTCGACCGAGTTGGTCTGGCGATCCCTCGACATGAGGGCCCTCCTTCTAGTACCAAAATGTTGGTATAAACAACTTTAAGCCGTGGCCTCGGGGCCGACGCAGCTCGGTTCGAGTCCGGATGACGGGGGATCTCTCAAGGGGGGGGGGGGTTCCTCGAGACTGCAGAGGTTGCCGGCTCTGGTCGGTTCGGTCATGGAGGTCGGTCGTGGTTTCCTTTGGGAAGGGGCTCCTCGCCAATTCGTCCGGAGAGAGGCGCCTCGTCTTCGTCCCTGCACACAGGTCAGGTCGGGATGCTCGACCCGACCCCTCCGATGATTAAGTTAGTCAGTGGTCGCAGGAGTTTTTCCCGTGTTTCCTCCTTTTCCTTGGCGCTCAGAACGCAAGGGTATTTATAGGGGAGTTTAGTGTCACTTGACGTGCCTGCTCGCAAGGGGCAGGATCGTACCTTCTGATGACGTCTGACATCGCTATTGGCATGGCGTGAGGAATCGAGGCTGAGCGGTCATTAATGGGCCTCGGTTGGCGTTTCGGCCCGTGTCGGCCAGGCGCTGTCAGCCCGACAAAGACGTGGGGCGTCAACTGATGTCACGCAATTCTTATCGTAATTATCACCCTCATCAACAATGAAGTACCACTATAATAATATAATATTAATGATTTGAGTTTTTCATGTAATGTTGAACTATTGAAATCATCTCTATTTTACTTTGGGTGAAATATTAACATATCTACTATTCACACAAAATTACTTATAGAGGAATGATATAATCCTCATATAATAGTATTGCTATTTTTGGATATACAATCCTAGACTATAATGATATCCAAAATAATATCATCTTACCCTATCACATAATTATTCGAAGTATATTCTTCTTTGAGATTATCTAAATCTCCTAATTATAAATGTCATTGGGAATATTATTTTTTCAATATTATTTATGATTAATTCCTTAATATAATTTTATAAGTTATTGATCTAGGCCATTTTAGTAGCTATAAGATCAATATGATAATATAACATATAGTTTAAACTATTCAATAAATGATAAGATATTTATTGTAATTCATATCCCACAAGCTTACTATCCTAGGCTACTTTGATAGCTATCGATCAAATAAACTTTAGAGATATAAGTTACAAATAATATTCACTAATTTTTTAAATCTAATTTATGTTAAAATAATTTAATAATAATCATAATAATTATTGAGGATTAATCAACATAAAGAAAAACTCATATGTTTACTATAATCAAAACATAAATCATGACTTTATGTAAAAAAATAATTATTATTTTATAATTTTAAATATATGTATATGAATAACCAAAATAAAATCTAAGAATAATAATTAGATTTTTATTTATCATAAGATTTTATCAATAAGTCATTTGAGAAAACTATCAAATAAAATCATATTTTATATTGAGCTATCCATAGGCTCATATATTTGAGCTAACCATTTGTCCAATTAGACCTATTAAAATTAAAAATGATTAAAATCAATTTTTATTCAAAGTTTAATTTTTCTTAGAATTCGATCTAATTAATAATATACTTTGTAGTCAAAATATAGATATGATCAAGTCTAATCAAAATATTTAATTAACATAAACCAAATTAATCAATTTTATAACTAATGACATAATTTAAAAAATTTGAATTTTTAAAGGGTAAAACTATAATTTTAACTTAGGATATATAGGAAATTATTTTGATTTTTGAACATCAAAATTAGAAAGTAAATAAAGGGACACATATTATAATTATCTTATTTATGAGGGATAAAACTATCCTTTTGGCAAAAACCATAACTAACCCATTCTGCGCTTGCTACGTAAGGTGCAACCGCTGCCTACGTGAGGTACCATAGCTGTTGTCCATGGTCATTGTGCAAGGCACTACAACCATTGTCTGTGGTGACTTTGTGAGACATGATCGTCGCCATCGTGCACAGCCATTGCTTGCGTGCGACCTCTGATGTCTAGTTGACGTTGGCCGCAACCATAAATGCTATCACAATCGTGCTACTGCAACTCCTATAGGCAACAATGATGCTATTGTAGCTACTGCATGCAATTATTACGTGAAAACCTTTAATGTTAAAATATGAAATCAAATAACAATATATCTAAATTTACGATGTGTACCTTTCGATGGTTATCATAAATAAAGATTTTAATTTTGAATGATATCACCTATATCAAGTGGTACATACCGGTTCGCCAGTAGACTAGTATGTAGATAGCTCGCTATCGGGGTATCGTCGATTGGGACTATTTTTACCTTGTTACTGCTTGAAATTAGTCGGTAATAGTTAATTTCGACCGTCGTCACCTACTACTTAGTGATATTAGCTGAGGGGAAAGAAAGAAGAGGGAGAACCTAGAGATTCGGTATCACTCTCCCTCGACGATCCCGATCTATCATCGCCCTCCCTTGCCGGATGCCGCATATGAGATGTCACCTCCTCCTCGTCTAAGATAAGGAGGCCTTGGCGTTATCGATGATTTCTCCTCATTTGCGTAGGAAGAAGAAGAGGCTTCGTTGGGAGAAGTCTTTTAATTTATTATTATTATTATTATTATTATTATTATTATTATTATTATTATTATTATTATATATACATACTCACTGAGCGATATGCCAGAGTGTACTACTCGGTATGCTTGTACTGTATCGAGCTACGATGGGTATGATACAAAATTGTGAACCTTGTTCAGAAAATATTTTCTAATCTACAAGCAAACCATAGTGGAATTCGAAGGCTACAATGATACTGATATGCAAAGATAACTAAACTCATCTTCTCCTCTTTTCTTATCCTTTATAAGATTACTATGAGCGATGGATTTAGAGACAAATGAGATATGAGAGAAGATATATAATCTTTCAATCATGTCATGTATCTATGGATCAACATATCCGTGCATTGTGTGTATAGTCTCTAGGAGATTCTGTCTATTTATAGGTGAGAGCAAAAAGTCTAGAATAAATAATTAGAATAGTCTTTTCCATCAATATCATAAGAAATCCTATCATAATTAAAATTTCTTTCTATTGATCGATAATTATAATCATATTTGTCTCTATCAAATGTTCTCATGTTCTTTTCTGAAGCAAAAGATAGTCCAATACGTTGAATTGATCCTGTGAATTTTCTGGCATGTACTCTCTGATCTTATGGGAGTTCATAAAGTCAGAAAATGCTCATCTTCACTTTGGCACATTTTTGGAGTAAAATAATTACAAAAGTTCATCATCATAACGTCTTCTGGGCCAGCTTTTCTTGCAGCTGTGTTTCCATCACAAGGCAAAGCATACGTGCAGTGACGCGTCTTTGGAGCACTTGTGCTATTACTCATGGCTGGTTCAAAATCCATTCAATTATGCTGTAGCTCATGGCTGGGTCAGAATCCACCCTGCGTAGAGGAGTTTGCACGTCAGAAGCCACTTAACTTTTTTCCTCCTATCTTATTCTTGAATTAGTTCTCTCAAATTTTCTTAAATCCTATAACTTAAGAACAAGAACAAAGATGCTGAAAGTAATCCTTGAATTCTCACTTTATCTTGGATTCATAGATCAAATTCTGTTCAAATGAGTTCTTGAATCAATGTTACAAACATGCTCCAAGCTGCTTTGCTTTCTTAAATATATAACGATGGAAACTTTGGAGAAAGGAACAAGCAACAAATTAATGCAGCATTGCAACGTTCACTACACATTTCCCCGCTTCTGCTTTACATACATCGACAGCTACGAGAAGAAGAATTCAAAGAGGAACTAATGCTCCCATCTCTTTCTCAACATATGGGAAGTGGCGCGCCATTCCACTCCTTCAAGCACTCGAGAAGTGGATCGATCAGCGACCCTCCGTTGATGGCCACAAACACCTTGTCGAACTCCTCGCCGGGCGACCTCACCTTCTCGCCGGTGAGGCATGCAGTGCCGAGCTCCTCCCTGACAAACCGGTACAGTGGGTACGATCTGCATTCCTTGATTCGGTTGGCGATGGTCGCGTCGCCGTTCTCGACCTCAGCCCTTGCTGCCTCCGCTGCCTTGGGCAGGACGGCCTTGAGCTCCTCCTCGAACGCGGTGATCTTTTGGAAGATGGAGGTGCTTGGGTCCTTCTCCTTCTCACCGTTGGCCAGGGCATGCTCCACCAGGACCATCCTCAGCTTGGGCATCAGAGCGTACGTGGAGCTGCAGGGGTCGTCGATGTAGCTGAAGACGTGCTCGCGGTCGACGATGGTGATCAGGTCCTTCTCGCAGAACCGCGAGGGTTGGAGCTCGCCGTTGACGCCTGCGGTCAGGACCCTCTTGGCGACTTGGCTCACCGTGTTCTTGACGGCGTTCTTGAGGTTCTCCTCCAGGTGCCTCAGGTCGATGGCTTGGCAGAGCGCGACCAGGTAGGTGGCGGACATGAGCTTCAGGATGTCCACGGCATCCGCCGTCTTCCTGGAAGAGATCAATCCCAAGGAGTTGACGTCTTGGTTGTGCTGCTCGGCGCTCTGGACATGGTTGGTGACCGGGTTGGCGAGGAACTGAAGCTCGGAGCAGTAGGCCGCCATGGCGATCTCGGCGCCCTTGAAGCCGTAGTCCAAGCTCGGGGTGCGCCCGCCGGAGAGGTTCGACGGCAGGCCGTTGTTATAGAAATCGTTCACGAGCTCGGAGAACTGGGCGAACATCAGCTTCCCGATGGCAGCGAGGGCGAGGCGGGTGTTGTCCATGGACACGCCGATGGGTGTGCCCTGGAAGTTGCCGCCGTGGAGGGCCTTGTTCCTGGAGACGTCGATGAGGGGGTTGTCGTTGACGGAGTTGATCTCCCGCTCGATGGACTTGGTGGACGAGCGGATGACCTCGATCTGAGGGCCGAGCCACTGCGGGGAGGTGCGCAGGGCGTAGCGGTCCTGCTTCGGCTTCTGCAAGGGGTCTTGCTCATGGAGCTTCTTCGCTATCTTCATAAACGAGCTTCCGTCGAGGATGTGCTCCATGATGGCGGCGGCCTCGATCTGTCCCGGGTGGTGCTTCAGCTTATGGGTGAGGTGGTCGGTGAACTCCGGCTTCCCCAGCATCACCTCGCAAAAGACCGCCGACAGGACCTCGGCGAGGACGGCGAGGACGTTAGCCTCGTAGAGGACGACCGAGGCGAGGCCGGAGCCGACGGCAGTGCCGTTAACGAGCGCCAGGCCCTCCTTGGGCTGGAGCTCGAAGAAGCCGTGGGGGATGCCAGCGCGGCGGAACGCCTCCGCCGCATCGATGGCCTCCCCGGCGGGGTCGAGCGCCTTCGCGTTGGGGCGGCCGGTTAGCAAGCCGGCGATGTAGGACAAGGGGACGAGGTCGCCGGAGGCAGTGATGGTGCCGCGGAGCGGGAGGCATGGGGTGATGCCGCAGTTGAGGAGGCTGGCCATGGCCTCCAGGATCTCGAACCGGATGCCGGAGTAGCCCTGGAGGAGGGTGTTGACGCGGACCAGCATCGCGGCCCTGGCCGCCGAGGCCGGCAGCGTGTGGCGAGACTCCTCCCCGGAGCCGAATATTCCGGCATTGAGGAATCTGCAGCAAGGAATCTCGATGGATCAGCTGTCACAGCTCGTGGTTGCCAGTCTCAAGGCAGTGTAGCAGCCATGAGACGAACAAATGATGGGCACAGGGAATATTAAGGATTCATGTACACCACAAAACCTCGAGCCTATCATGCAGTCGCATGCAACATCACAAACATAATGATTCTTGTAGGTAGAATAATAATGGAGGTCAACACCGTTCCAGCTCATAAAATATGAATGCAAACCACATGTTTATTGCCCATGTTAAGGGCCCCACCTACACCACAAATAATTGATTTCATGATACCTTCTCCGCCGATTGGGTTGGTAGTGGCAGCATCTACTAATGTGGATCTCATGTATCTTTTTCGTCCTTTGTAGTTGGAACTTGGTCTCATCCTGCCAAATACTTTTCTTCGTGGAGTTACACACCTCACCCACCTATTAGCGTCCAAACTTATCGCTGTTTTCCTCTCTCTCTCTCTCTCTCTCTTATTGCATCCGCATGCAACGACAAGGTTGCGTGCAGGGCACTGTGCATGCGACGAGGACCATGCGACTGTTCCACTGTCTTACTGGATACAGATTGCACCAGACCATGACAGCTCCTACTCTTCCCTTCTCGACGAATCAGTGGATCAAACAGCCATGGATTCTACCTGTTATGCTTAATGTAACTTGCTCTCCTAGGTATGATGGGAAGAAGGGGTGGGTTACCTGATGAGCTCCTTCTGCAGGGCTCCTCCTTCCTTGGTCCGCCGGTGCGAGGTGGCGCCAAACCCGGTGGTGACGCCGTAGCTGTCGGTCCCTTTGGTCATGCTATCCACCACCCACTGGCTGCTGGCGCGCACCCCGTCCCTCGCCGATTCCGACAGCTCCACCCGAACCGCTGCCGCCGTAGCGACAGCCGCCACCTGGGAGATCGTGAGCGTCGCGCCCTCCAGCCTCACCAGAGGCCGACGGGACTCCTCCACCATCCGCCTGACCTCGTCGAGGTGGTTCCCTGACAGCGCCTCCGCCGCCGTGGCCCAGTTCAGGGCGTCGGCCTTGATGCACAGCCCATCCGTGGTGCTGTTCGTGTAGGCGCCGTTCTCGACCTCCATTAAGAGAGAGAGAGAGAGAGAGAAGAGTTGCAGTAGAGATGGAAAGCTTTACTGGGAAAGAGAGAGGTGACAAGAGAAACATTAAATAGAGAGACAGAGAGGAGGTGGTGGCAATGGCATGGGACAGTTGGGGTAGTTGGAACAGGGGAAGAGTGGGTTAGTTGGCATGGACTGTGGACCGTCGGATTGCGATCGATCGAGATCGTACGGTGAGAAATTAAACATTAATCATTTCCTCGAAGACGGAGGCGCGAGGGGTTGGTGGGATCGCAAGGGGATGTGTAATCATGCAATCATTTGTCCTCACCAATTCTTCTATCTACTTTGGCTTTTCTTCTATGTTTTTTGTTTTCGTGGTATAATGAATTTTAGAATTAGTATAATTAAAAAATTAATCACCTCTAAAATATATATATATAAAAAACATATGGTATCGTATTGATCGAAGACGATGACACCAATTAACTTAGCTGGTTAACACTCCATGACATGATTTAGGCACTGAATCTCACCCTCACATTTTATCATTCAGATCAAATTTAGATATCCATTGCCATTCCGTTTGCTTAAACTGAATCATGGTCTTTATTAATAAAATTTGATACAGAATTAATAAATAAGTGGATACTTAAATTAATAATTAATAATAAAGTGAAATTAGTTGGGAAAAAAAGGAAAAGGCTCGGAGCATTGTTGAGCTACCACATATGTCATTGTCTACACCAACCTCTCTTTGTCTCTCTTTCCTCTCCATGTAGTAGGTGAGAGATGGCTGCCAAATTGCTTTGGATCGAAGGGGATGTAATAATCAAGACGAGATCCAATTGATGGAGCTAATTATGCTCACATGCTCGTGTGGGGAATGGCATACGTGTCTCATCTTAACCATGCGATTGATTCCATAAACTCACCGAGTTTTTTATACAGCTCGTTCCTGAATCTTTGGACCGTAGCTTCGACCCAATTTTCCATCAGTCTAGTTGTAAGATTAACCTGAATCTTTGACGGTCAAAAGTCACTTAAACAAGGATTGATTGAATTACTCATAGTTCATATGTACCGATTACTGATTGTCATGATCGTGGTTGAGCTTTCGATCTCGATAAGTTGCGATGACATTTTCATGATTAAGTTATTTTAGTACGATGATGATGATGGGTTTGATTCTTGATGGGAGTTCTTTCGAATGATAAATCATCGGTCACCTAATAAAAGATAGTTAGTCGAGAAATTATTGTTCAAAATTGATCTTTTATGCTATCAATCAATAGTCATGATCTTTACTAACATCTTCTTCTCATTAGATACTTAGCACGATGATAAGTGCACACTACTAGAAGGTTTCTGCCCCCTCTTTGGGATCTGTCACAACAAGTCATAACATGGCGATCAACGTTCCATTTGGGATCAGTAACAAAGGAATTCAGACATCCCAATGGAAGACTCTCCTCGTACTTCTTGTCTCTACAGAATAAGAAAAAGGGATTTTAATGTTCATGTTTGGAACGTCTCCGTCATCTGGTTTTGATCCCATCGGACATTGAATTATCGACCACAGTTATTGATAGTTTTGATGCATGATTTTATTTTCAAGTCAGAAAGTTTAAGCAGCATGCTGCCGAACTTCCTGCCAACTCAAATCTTCTGAATCACATCCATTTGTTATGCTCAGTACAAATTTCCTCCCATCTTAACTCAAAATATTTATAGTCAAATTAATAGTAATAGATGTTAAAATAGATAAAAAGAAGAGATAAAACTATTACACAATCATTCTTTACAACTTCAAACACTCTATGTACTTTACCAAACGTATGATTTATATCGTTCCAGATACATTAATTATATTTAAAATAAATTATTTTTTTTTAAATTTAAGAGTCATTAGTCAATTTGGTTTGTCCTCTATAAGCATTTAATTTATTTCTCCTCTTGATATAATAAATCTCTCTCAAGTTTAATTTCAATGTTCTCTCCCCTTAAACTTGTTTCGGTTAACATACTAAGTTTCTTTCAAAGTTATTGAAATATTTCAAATTTGAGAGGTTTTATAAGTATATCGGTCACTTGTTAATTTGTCTTGACATGAAGTAGCTCTACCTTTTTATTTTTGACATGAATCTCTTATAAATGAAATCTTACATTAATATGCTTCGATCTTTTATGATAGACTGGATTCTTAGCTAAAGCAATAACTGATTTATTATCAACATAAATCTTAATTAATTTCTAGTCCTCTTAGTCATATTACATAATAAACATAAAAAAGTTATTATATATTCTACTTCACAATTTGATATAGCAATGATATGCTTTTTTTTTTAAAGATTATGTGAATGTAGCTTCACCAAAATAAAATACAAATCCAATTGTACTCTTTCGATCATCGTAGCTTCTCGCTCAATTACTATCACTATATCCAATGAGCTTGATTCTTTTAGATGATAAATAAAATATTTTATACTCAATTACTACCTCCTTTGCATAATTTTCTTATGAGATAAAAATTTCTTTATTGTTTTGTATAACTTCAATACCGAGGAAATAAGTCATTAGGCCCAAGTCAGTCATCTCAAACTCCTCCTTCGTATAGTGCTTAAAATATTTAATCATGGAGATATTATTACTTGTAAAAATTAAATCATCTATATACAAGCATACAAATATGATATCTCCAACAAAATTAAATTTCATATATAAAGCATGTTCATGTGGACATTTAGAAAAATTATTTTGAATAAAATAAATATTTATCTAAGAATTCCATGCTCATGGGATTTGTTTAAGCCCATAAAGAGTTCTTTTAATTTGTATAGAATATCTTCTTGTTCATAAAGAATAAAACCATGAGGTTGTTGAACATATACTTATTCTTTAAAATCTTTATTAAAAAATTACTAATTTGATATTCATTTATAAATTTTTTTATTTTATTCGAGTCGCTAGGGAAATAAGAAATCTTATAGTCTCCTATCGAATAACTAATGTGAATACTTCTTTATAGTCGATCCCATATTATCATTTGTACTCTTTTGCAACTCATTAGATATTGTATTTCTCCACTTCCCTTTGTTCATTTCTTTTTAGTTTGAAAATCTACTTAACACCGACCACTTTGTTATCTTTTGGAAGTGTAGTTAGCTCCTATATATCATTTTTGTTAATAGCACGAATATTCTCATTCATAGCTTCTCGTTATTTTTCTTCTCTACAAGCTTCTTTAAAGGTTAATGGATCATCTCTTATAAAAATAAAAATAAAAAAGTTCATTATTGTTAGTATTAATCTTTTGAGTCACATGCTCCTGAATCATTCTTGTCCTTCTTACGGTTGGACTTCTTGGATCATGTGACCTAATCGATCTAGGTTATGATTTAGACAAAAACTCTTCGATGCTTGTTTATATTATATCATCCTTTTCTGAATATATAACTTTCTTATGCTCGTTACTTTTCCAATTCCAATTCTGTTATTCATCAAACTCAACATCTCTTGACATTACAACTTTACTTGTGATAAGATTATAGAGTTTATAACCAAACAAGACACATTTCTAACTTTTATCCTCAATGTTTGTTCTCTTTTCTTTTGGTATCTTAGCAAATATAATACTTTAAAATATTCTCGAATGATTGACTCTTCATTTATGTAAGCTTCATATTTCTTCTAGTGTAATATTATCAATTTATCTTATTAAAAATATGTTAAATAAATAAACTGTATAAGAAATAGCATCTCCCCAAAATTCTTTAGGAATTCTTCTTTCCTTTAACATGCATCGGATCATATTAAGTATAGTCATATTTTTTTCTTTCTGAGATGTTATTTTATTGAGGTGTGTAGGAATGACGAATTAATATAAAATTTTATTATTTTTATAAAAACTTTTAAATTCATTTGATATATATTCACCGTCCTATCTGTTCTTAAATATTTAATTTTACAACCATTTTGACTTTCAACCAAATTCTTAAATTCTTTGAATTTGCTTAAAGATTTTTTATTTTTCTTTAACATATAAACTTAAGTTTTGTCACTATGATCATTAGTGAATGTAAGAAAATACATGTTTCCTTAAAGTGATACTAGACTAATATGGCCACAAACATTTAAGTGCACCAGATCAATGGATGCTCTACTCTTTTTTTTTCTTCTGATTTTGAAAGACTTTTTTTCTTTCTTGCCCATAACATATATTTCATATAATTTTAATGGGGGATCAATTCTTGGCATTTATGTCATCATATTATACTTTTATAAAAATTTTAAAGCCTTCAAATTTAAATAAGTATATCTAAGATGTCATAACGTAGAAATATCCTCAATATCAATTTTAAAATAATTTAACCAATCAAAAATACATAAATACAAAGGAAACATTTTGTTCTTCACTATTTTCGTATATGAGATTAATGTTTTATTCTTATCACGAATTGAAAGAGTCATATCTTTCATCTTAATATCATAATATTTTTCAAGTAGCTACCCGAAGCTCATAATAGTATTTTTCATATCAGAAACATAATAAACATATGAAATACATAATTCTTTATTATTATTAAGCTAAAGAAAAATTTTACCTTTGCCTCTTACTTGTCTTTTAGATGGATCACCAAATATAATATTTCCAGAACAACTTGTATCCATTTCCAAACATAGTTCTTTGATGCTACACATGTGATTTGAAGCTTCTATATCTAAATGTCATATCATAAATCATTAGCAAAACTTAATTATCATTCTTTCCTTTCTCAACAAAATTTATGTTATCACCTTAATTATTAGGATTATAATAACATTCAAAGGAGTAGTGTCCATACCTTCTAAAAACTTAGTATTATATTTTAGACTTTTTAAAATTTCTACAATGTCTACGGCCTCGACCATGTCCTCGACTATAATCTCAGCCTCTTTGGCTAGAAATTTTTTTTATCACATTTATTGTTTTGAGATTATTGAATGGTCTGATTTGTGCCATTTCTTCCTCTTTGTTCATGACCTCTTTCTCTTTGAGAATTTAATTCACCTTTGTATTCAAGAGTAAGCTTGGTTTATAGTGCTTGCTCTATAGATTTTTCTTTTTCTCTTTTTGTAAGTTTTTGTTCATGAAGTTGAAGATAACTCATTAGTTGTTTTAAAGATATTTGTTCTAAATCTTTACTCTTCAATCGCTATAGCAATAAAATCAAACTTTGGATTTAGAAATTTTAGTATTTTTTATTATTTTTTGATTATTTATTTGTTCACTATTTCATCTCATGAACAATAGAAATAATTTTTGAAAAGCAATTAGAAATAGATTCAGAAGTACCTTATTGTAATTTTCCAAACACGACTCGTAAAACTTGTAGACGAAGGTTTCTTACCTTATTCACACTACCAAATATTTTTGAAGTATTTCCTAAGCCTCTTTTGAAGTATTTAATAGAGCGATGATCTCAAATATTATATCATCAAGTACTTGGTAGATTGTGAATAAAACTTTTTTCTCCTTCCTTTTTCTATCTTTAAGTTGTTTTCTTGCTCCTGTATTCATTGCCCTTTCTTCTACTAGATTTGATTCAACAAATCCATCTTTTATAAACTCTCATATATTTTGGGAGCCTAGAAGAATCTTCATTTGAATGCACCATATATCATAATTTTTTTTGTTAATATAAGAATTTAAAGTTAAATGATGCTCGGGGAAGAAGTCATACCAAATGTTGAAATAGATAGGAATAAGAGATAGAGCTATCACATACTATTCTATTTTTTACTTAAATAGAATAGTATGTGATAGGAAGATTAGGAAGATTAGGAAAATATAGTTTTTTACTTAAAATATAGATTAGGAAGATTAGTTTTTTACTCACCAAATATAGTTTTTTATCACATACCAAATATAGTTTTTTACTTAAAATATAGGAAAATATAGATTAGGAAGATTAGGAAAATATAGAATAAGAGATAGGAAGATTAGGAAAAAGCATAATATTCTATTTTTTACTTAAAATTTTTTACAACTTCAAAAACTCTACATCAGGTTTATATAGTTTTCATAAATTTATTATATTAATTACTTTTTTTTCTAAAAAATTAATTTGGTTTATCCTTCTCTAAGTATTTAATTTATTTTTCCTCCTGATGTAATAATTCTCTCACTTGATATAATGAACTTTTTATGATGAATTTAATTCCTCATCTGACCATATAAACCAACCATCTCAATTCCTTTCCAGCTGCATCTTGGTTGTCTTTGCTATTTAAGTTTCTCATTAGCATTAGCTTTGATGCCATTTATCATGATTTGACAATAGAATAGAATAGCTATACATTGACTTAATAATCCTAAAACTCTACTCCTTTAAGCCCACATTTCATAAACTTTAGACTAGTCAAAAGGTGAAAAAAATTGCTTGTGAATAGCATTGCTATGTTTGAGCATTCAAAAGTGCATGTGAATAACATTGCTATCTTTGAACATTTATCATTTGGAAAATTTCCACCAAACGAGCTATCACGATCCAACGTGAAGAGATAATTGACTCGTTAATTTGATGAATCTGAATTAGTGACTCAAAATATTTATCATCAAATTAATAATAATAGATTCATCAAACCATATAAATCATCTCAAATCCCCTTCAGTAGTTCTTAGACACTTACATCCCTCACCGACGACAATTTTGATGTTATTTATCATATGACCCGACTCAATAAAATAACTGAATTATTAATTTAATAAATCTGAAACACGCATAAAAAAAAAAAATTGAAGTCCAAATTACACAAATCTTGACCTGGTGAAGGGTGAGAGAAATTATCCATGGATAGTATTATTGTGTTAAGAATTCATGCTTTGAAAAATCTTTGTGGCCTTGAGAAATTCCCACCAACCAAGCAATTTAGGTACAGAGTCAAGGTTTGAGAAAGGTTAGCTTCCAATTTCCAAGTGGTAGGAGTTTGGTGTGCAAAGCTGCTCACCAACAGAAGGAAAATAATGGCAGGGACAATTTCTTCTCCCCCACCCTCACCACACTATAAACCTAACAATGGGTCCCTTTGATCCCACCACTTGTAATATAAAATGTTAAACAGGAGTAGTAGACAACTTGTTGGTGATTAGATAACAACCTCCCATTTGTGCCATGAATGAGTTGAGTCTTTGACAATGTGGTTGGTTGGCATGAGGGAAGAAGGAGAGATGGCAGGGAGTGGGAGGAGCTGACTCTCATGGATAAGGTCAGCTCCATTTGCACTCCAAAAACCAGTGTGCACATGAATGAGGATTGGCAGGTCATTTGCAAATTGGAGAGGAGAAGATGTACGTCAAAAAAGAAAGAGATGAGTGGGCTACCAAATGCCACAACAAAACTACTTCAGCTTTGCATGCTACAAATAGGAAACTCCAAATGACAATTATAAGTAATTAGCCTTAGATGAGAGTTGAGTAATTTTAATAGGAATTAAGAATATTTTGATATATTTTTAAAAAATATATAAGATGATAAAATCTTGATTTTTTTTTCTCACTTAGCCTTAGACTCATGTGATATTTGTCTTTATTTATTATGAAATAATGATAATTAGAAAAAAGATGAGTCATGACATGGTTATTGATATGGTTACCAATTTCGTTAGATAGATTTCGATAGGAATTTTTTTTTTTTATCAGATGGTATTTTGGATATTCGAAAAGGATAGAACCTCACTATCAGTATTATTGTTTATATAGAGGACAATATTTGTGAAAATTCTAAAATATAACATTTTTTTCTCCTGAAGCCATTTCCTATTATGCAAAACACAAATTGATGTCATGAATCTTACTATATATATATATATATATGTATATATATATATATGTATATATATATATATATTACATGTATATGTATATATATATGTATATGTATATATATGTATATATATATGTATGTATATATATGTATATATATATATATATATATGTATATATATGTATGTATATATATGTATGTATATATATGTATATATATATATGTATGTATATATATATATATGTATATATATATATATTATT